AAAAAAAAAAAAAAGAAAATATGACTACAAAGAACTGAAATAAGCATTAAAACCAAAGTATTTGAAGTCAAAAATGTATATTGTTCATGAGCTTTTGTGCTCAGGAAGTAAGAAAAACTGAAATGTACATAGTGAAAAAATTAGCAGCTTACAGTTAGCATTTACTTGCATTCACATAAGACACTGCATTACTGTACTACATTTACTGCATTTGTTACAGTGTAGATAGTGTGGTGGCGAAAATAACACAGTTATTGCAGAAAATGTGACATAATAAGAATATGCACAGACTCACCGGTCGAGTTTCTCCTCTGCATGAATTTTTAGGGCTTGATATCGCTGTTCCTCCTTGCGAACCCTTGAAAGATACTCCTGAGCGCATTTCTTCAATACCTCTTCATTCTGTATGTGGGTGACACAAGGGGGCAAGTAAAAAAATCTGAGATGACCAACCGAGATGTTGATATTGATAAAAACCTGGGAATAAATTGTGTTACTTTGCGAAAGCCCTCCAGCACATCTTTCATCTTCTCATAACGACGGAAGAGATCGGCTAGAGACTTCTCCACAGAGTTAAGGTCGGCCAGCGCCTGGTCCTTCTCCATGATGAGCTGCTGGATGGTGTGATGGGAAAGAGATTTCTCTTTCTGGTCATCCTCTGATGGACACACATAGAGAGGATGCAGATAAAGAGTCTACTAGGTGAAGAAACTGCTGTTATGGGTAAAAAATACTGTTAAAAGACCCCAATCAGCACACAAACACACACACACACACAAAAGACTTGTCTGACATTTTTCACAATATATCTAAATGTATTTGTGGTAGTATGATTCAACAAGATGTTTTACTACACTATATGAGGATTTCTGATAAACCAGTGTAGCATGCAAAACACAAAAAGCCACTGAACAATGAGAAAAGAAAAACAGAGGAGAAACATCAGAGTGGCCTCAAGACCTTTCAATGTCAAATATCAATGTGCCTACACTATTTCAGCCTACAAATATCCCTTTCATTTCCCATCGATGAGCAACTCGGTTAACTCACCAAATCTGCGTGAATGACTTCACAGTCATCACCAGTCATGGGTGAAGTGCACGTGTTCATGTACAGATTTACACTGTGTATTACATCTGACTGAATATGTATAATATTGTACTTTACATGAACAATAACAACAACAAAGTTGTTTTAAAACTCATTAGATTCAGTCCTGTCTCTCTTTTAAAAACTAGTCTCAGCCTACAGGGTGAAAGCCAAAACCCCCCCCAAAAAACCAAACAAATGAATGAATGGCTCTGAATGAGATGAAGAAAGTGAGCACAGCTGCTCCCCTCTCTGATGGACGGATGGAGAGATGCGAGCTGACACAAACAAATGAAAGACAATTCCTCGTTACTCACCTGGCATGCCTGTCAGGGTTATCAAATAGTAAGGGGGGCAAAGATGGGAGCAGAACAGAAAAGAAGGGACTGTGTTAAGTCAAGCTGGGAGGGCAAGACACGTGACAGAGCCGAGTGTTAGACATTAGCAGAGGCAGACTGTTCCTGTGTGCGACAGTGCTTTAATGAGAGTAGGAAAAAGAAAAAGCCGGTCGCAGTGAAAGAAAAAAAAAATCAAATCTTCGGGGATGTTCAAAGGTGGAAAGGAAGATGTGGGTGAGAGCAGGAATAATGCAGGGGTGTGAGCCTGCGGTGAAATTTAATGAGTCCAGAGAAGCTGAACAAGAGCGGGCAAAGGAGAGTGCTGTCCCCTCCACTGACATGAGGATTCAGTTCACGTCATTCAAATATGAAAGCAAACACAGAGAAAAGCGAAAATTTGCAAAGGATAGAAAAAAATTCAAATAAGATTCAAATATCTGTGATCAGTAGCACTGGATAAGGCCTCACAAGGACCTTATAGCAGATCAGTTTGCAAATGAACAAGAGTAAAATAAAGTGGAAGAGTACAAGAAACAAAAATAGCAGCTTTAAAATAAAGTTTGCGTGCTTATGGTTACGTGAACTCACCTATCATCTGGGCAATCGTCTTCTCATACTCAGCTACAATTCTCCTATGGATGAGAAGTTGCAAATCTTCAGTATATGTCACATAAAAAGTAAAAAAAGAAGACTCTCCTCACATCGAATACCAAGAAATCTATTTTTTGCAAAAATTTCCATCTCTCCCTCTGACATGTGCAGCCCTGCACCACCCGCCTGTTGTTCGAACCCTTCCAGCTAACACCTGTAAGCTACTTATCGCGGTCCAGTTTTACAGTAAACGCGCCGTATTTAGAGGAAATGGAGAATTTGCTTTGAATTAGCTCCAAAATTTACTGCACAACTTTTCAAAATCAAATTGAATTTCTGTTGTTTGAAGTGTCTCGACACAACTAGTAGAAAAGCAACAGGACCCAATACGAAGCTTCGTCTTTTTAAAAGCAAGTTTCCAGAGGTAAGAGGATAGATTAGCCATGCCTTCCCCTTAGCCTCTTAGCCTCTCCTTATCCAAAGTCTAATCATTCAAATGAAGTAAGCTCCGACTTATCCACACTAACTGAGCAGCAGACAGCTGACACCCGCCACCTGCTGACACACAGTAAAGTTTCGTTACTGTACATCTTTCCCAAAACCCCAATTGGAAGCCATGAATTTAACCTAGACTGATCATCATGAAACAAGTGTAGCTACTGCTAGTTACGAGCTCAGTTAGTTGAGCATAACCTAGGATATTTTCTCACATATAACTTTTTAACAGTAAAACCTCTACATTTACATTTACATCTCTACTCCTTGCTAACAGGACGAGGTGTTGATTTTTTTTAAATGGCTATCCAGTCTCCCATTAATCATTGCATTGTCTGACACCTTAAGCGAGATAAACCACTTGAGATATTCAGCAGTTGATAATGGGCGGAGTCCGAAACACAGCTAGGTGTTAGATTCATGCTTCAGTGTCTGCGTGTGGGACCCTGGTGTATGAAAGCGATAACAACCCAAGGTGTCTCTTCTTACCTCATCTCCACCACTTCCTGTCGACTGTCTTCATACTTCCTCTGCCACTCCAGCACTTCTTTCTCCTTTGACACAATCTGAGGATGGAGACAAAATCATTTCATTAAATGTGAGATGCAGACTTAAAGGAACAAACAATGACTTACGGAGGAACAAGAAATATTTTCAGGGCACCTCCTCTCGTGCAATTCCCAAAGAGTGGTCCAGTTCTCTGGGCAAGTGGGGACTCTCCCCTTCGATGTAGCTGGCCGTGGTCCTGGAGTACAGCGAGTTCTTGGACACGCCACTCTCTAGTGAAGATGACACGTCTCTGTGCTGCTTCCGGAAAGCAAAGGAGAGGAGAGAAAGGAACGCAAGCATAACCTGTTACCAACGAGGCTGTGGCAACCGCGGGACACCCTCGCCCTCAGGGTCACTCGCACATTCTGGACTGAACCAAACTGCTAGGCAGCCTCAAACTATATCAAAATGTGCCACACAGCAAAAACAATACAAAATGAGGCAAGCCAGGGATGTTCTTGAAGACTTGGTCAGCCGCTACATGATTGGATGAAACAGTCTTCATTGCCACAGTATTAGCCGTGTTATTGGCTGATGCTGGCCCCAGCCGAGCAGTCCTGGTCAACTGCTCATTGAAATAGCTTGAATGTGATTGGGTCCAAGCAAAACAGAGGGGAAGGTGGGCAGCAGCTGATAGTATACAGGAGAGGGAGGTTAGGAGAGGGAGGTTGGGGGGGGGCAGATTGGGCAGCAAGGGATAGATATGTTAGTCTAATGTTAAAGCATGTTAGAGCATAGTTAACAGGTCTTACCCGTTGTTCCTAGAATCACAGGATTTAACTCTTTTTTTTTTTTTACAGCTACAGAGACTGTAATGTGATGAGGGCTAAGGTGAATCAGAAAATCTTCAGGGTTAATCATTAGAAAGAGTCAGACTTTGGATCTACAGTATAGACACTACAAACCCAAATGCATCTCCAAGTGTCCGTTGCAACCTATGACAAAATAAATAAAAGCCTCCTCACTTTATCATATTAAAATACAGTTGTTCTAGTACCACGTTTGGTTTGCTGAAAACTCTGAAAAGGATTTAGCTATCCTTGGTAGATAGGGATTACAGGAGGATTTGATGATGGGGGGGTCACAGGAGACACGGAGAGGTCTACCACTACTTTGGAAAGAGTTTAGCGTTTGGTCCGGCTGTACAGCTAATTGCATTACTTCTCTGGACAGAAACGGTCAAGTAACAATAAACATCAGTCAGATACTGATTAGGTTTTTATCTACCAATACAGAAAGGTTCAGGTTCAGAGACTTTAAGGAAACAAATCAAACCTGTGGTTCTTTGGTAAAGCTGCAGCAAGAATCCGCTAACAAAAAGCCCCTTTTAGTAAATCATCCTGAATCACATGTTAAATAAAGAGCTTTTTTCATTTAGTAGTACTTCAGGCAAATGTCACAGACTTTTCAGGATTCAGATTTTTAACGATAACCTGCTTTGTATTTGTTTTGCGATGAAAGACTCACGTTTATAAAACCTCAACAATGCACCTGAAATACCATGAACTAAACACTCAAAATGTTCACTGTTGTTTAACTACTGAAGTGAGAGCCAGGTTTCAAGTTGAAGATGAGTTACCATGGTAACCCAACCTCATCTGAGATGCACAAAGTAATGACTAAAAAATAGAAAAATAAAAATAAACTGGATTTGTTTAATTTCTGCTGCCTTACTCATCACTGAGCAATGTCTGTTATGTTGTGAGATATGTTTTCTGCTGGCACACTCTAATGATCCTCCAGAAATAGTCTGCACGTCAGGTACTACACAGGTAATGCAGAGATGTTTTGGACTGGCTAAAAAACACACACATGATTTCAGCATAATAAATAACACATTAGTACGCAATTCCAGACACAGACAAGGTGAGCACACTGAAATCTAACCTCTCTTTACACGAAATGCCTTAATTGTAGATTTAATGCTAACAAAAAAGAGCCAAAAACACAAGTCGAAGCCACATCCCCCAAAGACAGAGAGGACTGATTATTAGATGCACAAAGGCTACAACAGACATAATACATAGCTGTAACTGCACAAAACAGCTCACAAAGAGCTTTTGGTAGGCAGCAAATTAATGGACTCTCTGTAATTTATGGATCTATTAGACTAGACGATCTAGTGGAGTCTGCAAGAATTTGGATGACAGTTTTGGCTTCACAGTCCAGTACTAGGAGGCTAAAGTGCTGAATTTCAGTTTTAATTGGAGTGCAATTACCTTCAAACTCTATGAATAATAGCGTTTATTGCCCTTATCTTGGTTTTACAAAAAAGTAAGCTATAATTCTTAACCAGTGTAGACATGAACACCTTTAATCACCTTTAAAGCTTATATTCAGGACATTAATCTGGTCTGCTGGCATACTGAGCCATTAAAAACTATGTGTTTATGATGAAGTACTTGGACTGCGCTATGGGTGGACGTGAACACATCACAGGGGGAACTATGTTGCTCTTACTTTGAGTAAGGGTGAACCGTTGATATTCCACCGCCGAGTACTGGGTTTCTTGAGACGAGACTGTAAAATGCGTGGGACAACAGCATGAGACATGGAAGGAAAGACGTAGGTGGGAAGTGCGTGCCCTGCTCCAACTCTTGCAAGAGTTTAAGTTCAGCACCTGCCTCAGAATTTGGACCAGCAAATTCCCAGGTACTACTTACCCTGCCTAACGCTGTTTTGTTAGTACTGTTAGTCAAATAGATGGACCAAATCACAAAACAAGAATGTGACCTGGGATTTGGGGAGGTGATCATGAAACGTCAACAGATCTGCACCGTAATATGTAACTCCTCAGCTGCCGAGTCTAATGTGAGACATTCCCAGTCACATTCATGCTGACGTAAGTTTCTCATGAAACAGGCAACATGCATGTTGCCCAACATGCATCACAAAGGCAAGGGACTAAGACACAGCACTTGGTTCCTAAGGCTTAATGGAGCTCGCTGGTAGTCAGGGTGGGAGCTGGGACGCATCAAGCCATGTTAGAGTCCAATGTGGGGAACGCGGAAGGTGGCGGGACTGTGGATGCAGCTGCACAGCCACCATGTTGATAAGGCCATGGATTCACAGTCACACTCAAAATGGTGTGTTTAAGGGGAGGGAGAGGCAGGCTGAGACACACTCATGCACACACACACACACACACACACACACACACACCTGCGTTTCGCTAATCTCTCATTCAAGATGCATCTTTTGCTCTTGCAAACACACTTGTTCACCCACACACACACACTTGCATACAGCAGGTGCAGGCTGACTCAGCGCAGTACCTGGGGGGTTACAGTGGAGAGGGAGGGGCACTGAGAGATGTTTTTGGCTACCTGCAGAGCCTCTATCCTCAGGGCAGCAAGCACCAGCTCCTCCTTGGCCGCACACATTGGGAGGGCCGAATTTCAGTAGTAAGGGAGGAGAGGTTGCAGCCCAAGAATGACAGAGTAAGAGGGAAACACATGAAATTTGAGTTGATCTGCCATCTACATTTTATGCACCAGTAATCTATTTTACCCAGCAAGCTAAAGAAAAAACTGCAACTTATGGAGGAGGAGGAGGAAAAAATGGGAAAATGAAAAGGCAGGATGTAACACAGTGACACAACGGGGAATAATGTTTTGTACAAAAACACACACAGAGACAAATATCAAGGCCCAAATATGGGTCGGCAAATTTATCAAGTAGGGTCTTCTGTGGTTTCTCAACACACCTGCAGTTTTTGGGCGAATGCTGTGGGGTTGGTCTCAGCCAGGTCAGGCTCCAGGTACTGCAGGGGGTCGTCACACTCAGACAGCCTGTCTAACAGGGGCATGGCCAGGGCTGGCGCAAGTGCCTCCACGGGGCCCTGGCTAGGGGGCTTCAAGGGCGCCAGGAGGAGTAGGCAGAAGGGGAGGGAGGGGGGGGGCAGGGGGACAGCATGGCAAAGCAAGCGCTGAGATTTTTTTTTGAGTGGCAGCATTGGGAGGTGGTTTGCTGAATCTGAGCTGGGAACCTAGTGTGACTGACTGGCTTTTCATTATCAGTGACAAGGATTTAATAAGAATCCCTGTGACTGATAGTGTTCACTTTGGAGGGCTGAGTCACAGCCTATGACAAAGCATTTACAGCGTGGCACTGTCTCCCCCTTGTGACTAAACAATAGCATGGTGCAAATGCTCCGAAATCAAAAAACATGACAGTTTCCCCTTAAATGGTAATGACTAGACATGAGTGTAAATTACATCTATGCACAACAAATTAACTGTAATTAAATGTCCACAAAGGCACTTGACTTACCTGCTCCTCCATCTCGGTGCTCTGTGTTCGACTGAGCACCTCGCTTTCTCTCTTCCTGCCCTTGTCTGCAGCAGAGCCCTCAGGGCCAGGCCGGGAGCTGAGCACCGGTGTCTTCATACCTGCTGTAATCTGGGCCTCCATCTCTTCAAAACTCCTGCACAGAATGAGAAAAACCCAACAGGAGATGAGGCGGGGAAAGGCACGGCATGTAATGCATCGCAGATGATGGACGGCAGCATTAATGAAAACACTGCTGAAGAAGCTGAAACGAATGCATTATACATTATTTGTGGTGTACACTTAGCACACACGAGAATAAGAAAGGGACTTAAAAATGCAGTGTAAAACTCACCTAGTATACGTTAACAAAACCATTATGTAATACAGCAAAGAAACAAAGTTGCAAGAGTAACAAGTAAACTATTTTACCCTGTGCAGGGGGAGCTGGGTTCAGATCCATGCGCACATGTATTTTTGGTTAAGTTGTCAGATACTGAGTCCAACTTCAAGTACAAAGATGGCTTCTTTGCAGACGGAGGCTAAAAGACACACAAGGTTAAAAAAAAAAGAACGAAGACTATCTACTTTTAAAGGCTAAGATATCATATAGCACACAAACAATGTAAAATAAATGCTATAAATACTAAAAGTAGTGACCATAAGACAAGCTCAAATACAATCTCTCTGTAATATTAAATACTCACTGGGGAAGAGGAGCCAATCTTCTCCATGTACTCAATTTCATAGTCTTGTACTGAGAGGGAAAGGCAAAACAAAGCATTAGATACAGTAAACAAAATGAAGAGACGCATCAGTGGTGTGCTGAGCTCTGGTTTGACGAGTTCAGAGGACGAAGCAGGGCTGTTTGTTTTCCCATCTCTGACCCAGATGGGGTGAACCAGATAGCCTCTGGGAAGCGTTGGCTCTTGCGTAAAGTCAGAGGGTAGTACAGAATTGGGCCAGCAGACTTATATCGCTGCCACAAGAAAAATCAATAACACAGCAGTATGAATAAAAGGTAAAGTTTCTGATTCATATACAGTATGTAAGGGTTTATCCAGACACAAGCTCTGAATTACCGAGAGTTACAGAGAGTCAGACAGTTATGCCTCACCTGGAGTCTCCTTAGGAAGACTGTTCTCATTAACAAAGGATGTAAGGTCGCACGGTTGAGGAAAGTCTTGCTGGTCAGAGTTTAAATCTCCATCCATGTCGTGCAGGGCTGCCCACTTATGACTGGTGGAGGAGGCTAGTTTCTCCTCATCTGTGGCATGGTCATCCTGCTGGTGAAGGGAGGAAGGTTCATCTGCGGGTATAAGATCCTGCGACACGAAAAAAGGCGACAGAGAGTGATGACAGATGAAAGAGGGAGAAATGCACATAGATAAAGCGGGAGAGCCAAGCGAGATTGCATATCAGATACATACCTGTGATGGGTCAGATAAGGGTGATTTCTTTGGCGACCTCTTCACTCTGAAAGTATTACTGAGGGGATATAAAAAGATCCACCGTCAAACTCTAGAGTCAATCATTATCTGTATTTAATTCTGCATTTGCTGCACATTTATATAGCATTTGTGTAGTCGTAGATGCTAAAATATGAGCTAGTTGGAAAGACTGGATTTTGCATAAAATCATCATTGCAAAAAACAATCATTTGCATAGTTCATTTCCACATGTGCAACAGTGCTTACTTACACACTTACTGTGTGTGGCTGAAATGGACTGAACAGTGAAATGCTTCTGAAGAGGGCTGAATCTATAGTTAGTAACTGGACAGTGAAGAGTAATGGAAAATTAATATTATGTTATGAGCAGCTTGGTTATCCAAGTTTAGTGACCATGATGATGAGGTAAACAATACTGTAGCTTAATTATTAGAACTTTGCAACAACCTTTAGAAGGAATTACCCAATTTTACACTTACTGACACTGTAAACACATACAGTCACGTGCAAAAACAAGTTTTCACACGGCTCTATGCAGTTTTCTTTTTTCTCTGACTTTATCAGTCTCTCACATTGTTGTGGAGGAATTTTGACCAACTTTTCTTTACAGTGCTGCTTCAGTGCTCTCACTTGCTCATGATCGGTTAATCAGGTGCATTAGCAGCACCTGGCTACTACTTACCCCCTTAATTCCTATCAAAGCAGTAATGATGTACTTAGTTTTTCACAGGACTGCATAGACCCTGTTGTTTTTATGCTCAGTGTTTAATGTGTAATGCATGCCTGAATTAATAAAAGGGTTATGTATCCCTGTAAAAATATATTAAATAGCAGTAGTATCAGATATGTGGCCTGAGCCAAATTTGCTGTAATTCACATGTAATAAAACATACTGTTGACATTGTACATGTTTTTTATGATATCTGGGTCCTTCATTAAATATTATCACTAAGTTGTAGTTCACTGCATTAAAAGAAAGGTAGCTTCTTACTGGTCCAGCCTGTTTCAAACTGTATGTGGCACACGCTGATACACTGTAGCTTTCGTTCTTTCATCAATAGCAAACAATGAACACCAGAGGGGGCACCAGCACCTCCTTTGTTAAACACTTACAACTGGATACAGATGAACAAAATTATTGCAGATACTTCAGTGTAAAAAAGGAAAGCAAAAAAACAAAAAAACAAAAGAGTTTTTCACCACTATCCATCCATAAGTCAATAGAAATATAGCATTAATTTACTAACTGGATCTTCTATTGGAGGGATTATGGGTGATTTAAACTGGCATGGATACTCCAGTTAAAATGGGTACGTTTCAAAGAGTTTCAGTGATTTAATAGCGAGCGCAAATGATTTTGATGTTTCTGTTAATAGGGACAACAGGGCAACATGCTGGTTCAAAGAGGGCCAGATTGAATTAGAGGGCAAAAGGGTGGATGGCTGTGTTGTCCCTGTACTTACAAAAAACAACATAGAGAAGACACACCCCTGGACTTCCTGTGACATATGAGAATACACAGACACAGGTGACAGACAGACAGACAGACAGAGGACACTGGCAAAACTGGCTAGAGAACCACATACAAACACAGACTAACCTAAAACCCTCACAGACTGATGCAGACTTTTCTGTGAATAGACAATCCTCTGGTAATACAGAGTGAACTTACGATTTGATGGGAGTTTTCTTCTTCTTGGCAGGTTTGTTCTGGTTCTGGTCCTCTAATTCCCCAAGGTTGTCATTGTCATTGTCATTTTCATTATCATTGTCATTGGATGACAGTTCAAATGAGGCAGAAGTCTTAGGAGGGGAATTGGCCAACTTGTTGGAGGTTTTGAAAGGGTCTATGGAGTCATCAAAGTCATAAGGCGGCCTGGATAGTTTGGGGGAGTTGGTGATACTTTTCCTTGAAGAAAATGGATTCAAGTTTGGATCTTCATACTTGTCGAGTTCAAAGGTGTAAGATGCTTTAGTTGCCGGGATTTCATCCTCGTTGCTGTTGTGAGTTGCCGGAGGAATGTTGTCCAGCTGCTCTGTCTGTGCTGGAGGCGCCTTTTTCAGCCCAAGCTTTGGTTTCCTCAGAGGCATCTTGGCACCTGACTTCTTGCCTAGCTTCTTAGGTGGAGGAGAGGCCTGATGTGATGCCTCACCACTCTCCTCGGAGTAGTCAAACTCCAGTCTTAGTGACTGACGCTTGGGTATAATGGGCTGCTCCTCAGGATTCGTGACTGGCTCTCTAATAGGAGCGGGTGGACTGGGGTGATGTGGTTCCTCAGGTGGGATGGGGGGACTCTCTAGAGGGGTGGAAATGGGGGCACACACAGGCTCCTTACGACCCAAAACAGGGGAATTGGCAATTTTACTACCTCCGGTCTTAAAGGGGTTGATGTTCTCAAAATTGTCTGGATCCCATTTGTAGGAGCCACCCGGAGGGATGGGGGATTCTTCTTTGTCTGCTTGACTTTCAGGGAGGGGTATCTCCTCCTGGCATAAAGGTAAGGCAGGAACAATAAGGCTCTCCTCTTGGGTGGTATGATTGGTCTCCTCTGGCAGGGGAGGAGGAGTCTCAACACGGGTCTTTCTGGCTTTTCGCTGCGTTCCTCCAGGACTCGGTGTTGCAGAGCCTCCCTCTGTTTCCTCCTGAGCCTGGAGAGGGCTGGCTGTTAGAGGTTTCACCCGCTTCTTAATTTCTGGGGTGCTGCTGGATGAGTCTGGCCTTGGGCTCTCTGGGTTAGAGTTCTGTCTGAGAAGAGGCTTTTTCTTTACAGACCCAGGACGACCTTTCTTGGGCCTGCGGAGTGTCCCTGGGGCACTCTCAGTCCCTACACTGAAAGACTCGGAGTGTGGACGGAAACCTCCTGAAGCTGATCCATCCAACAGAGCAGAACTATCTAGTTCTCCTCCCTGGAGGCTCAGAGAACGGGTTAGAGTGTGAGTCGTTGATTCTGCAGCAAAAAAGTCAATGTTATATGTACCACTGGCAGCGATGGGCTTGTTTTCATCAAAGGTATTTGACGCAGAATGGCATGGTAGTTCAGCTGCAGTGAAGTCAGATGTAGGATCAGTGATTGAGGTGTCTTCTACTGCAAAAGGAGATTGAAAGATGTGGAACATAAGACAAAGATTTCTAGAGTCTAACTAATCCAACCATTAAGTCGAACAAAACATGTTTTTTTTCTTGCTTGTTTTTTTTTTTTAGAATCAGTGAAAAATACCAAAGATACAGTTAGACAGGCATGAAATCATATTTTTGCAAGGTGATTGCCAAAGAATTATTAGCCAAAAACAGAAATCTCAGTATTGTGTGTCAGACACCAAAGAAAAAAATTTAAGTGCAAGACTGTCTACATTCATTTAAGTGTCTAAAATGAGTGTCTATATTCTACATTTGTAAAGTACAGTGAAGACCCTATCATTTTATGGGGAGGCGTTTTAGCCTTTTCTTGATAATCTTGTCAAAATTGATGGGATTTATGAATACAGAAAAATATGGTATGATTTTGATCCACCATACAGCACCATCTGGTAACCATCTGAATGGCAACAGCTTCATTTTTCAGCACGAAAGCTTTGCTAAGAGAGTTCAGGCTGTGTTGAAAAATATTGACTAAGCTCGGTATAATTGTAAAAACTTTATTTATTCCCATCTGTATTTGCACATATTTTAATAAACTGCTGCACCTATTTCCTGCTTTTCTGAAAAATATAAAGAAATGAGGGGTGGCTCCAAAGTTTTGCACA